TGAGGGTGGAAGCTGAAACTCTAAAAATATTTTGAAACTACTCTGTTCTTACCTTGCTTTCTTATATTTTAGCTTAAGGCTGTGAATCCAGAGCCTATTTGTTGCTTTACTTATGTGTCACTTTACTTACACACACACACACACACACACACACACACACACACACACACACACCAGGAAGCAGTGAGAATTTTGGTGAAATCTCTCATGGTGCAGTGTCTCATTGCATATCTTGCTACTAGGAGGTGGCTGAGAGGTTCTTGTGTTCTTTCATTTTCATTGTTATCCTGTTCTGTCTTTGCAGCCTCTCTGACTGCGGGAGCTTTCTGAAATGCTTCCTGGAGGACTTGTCCAGGATTTCCTCCCTTGGAGCTTTCCGGTGTTGCTGCACCCTGAGCAAGGAGAAGTCCTCCTCTTCAGTCGGCAGCAACAAAGAGAAGTTCCAAGCAAGTGCAGTGCATCTCTCCCCTTTACCCTTCCCAGCATATCTAAATAAAAGACTGTTGTTCACAAGAAACTTATTCTGTAGCAAAATCAGTCAAAGTAACATTCCCTCCAGTTTGTTGGAGCTCTTGTCCCTGTGAGGAGTAGGTTCCAAACTGAAGATCCTCTCCTCCCTTCCTTTCCCAAAAGGCTTGACTCCGCCCTCAGGGAGGTTTTTGCTGCTTGTGGACAGATGGTGGGAATGCCAGATGTTACTTAACTGGACAGCTCATTCGGCCCGATGCTGGCTCACTGGATTCATGAATTTACAGCTATTCCTACTCAGATCCTCCCTGTTCTACAATGTTCCTCCCTGAACCCAAGGTGGTTTGATTCTCAGCAGCTGTCTGACAAATCCCACTCATTAGCTACAACATATCTGTGCCACATTCCAACCCCTCTCCTGTATCTAGTTCACATTTTGAGTCTGAGAACTGGGAATGCTGTATTTTGAGAGATATGGGCCCCATCTCTACAGAAAGATAGTCTTGGAGCCCAAGCTTGTTGGGGGTTTTCCAGGAAGGTCCAGAAGCTGAGGAGGGTGTAAGTAAATAACGCAGCGGGGTGGGGGGGAAATAAAAAGCACCCTCAAACCCCGCAGCAATATGGTAGCACTGAAGTCATCTCAACAATAAGAACAAGCAGTACAAAGGGAGCCATGCTGACCCTACTAAACATTCCAAAATCCACATATTGGTTTAATTCCTTACTCAGGTATACCAAACAAGCACCCACATTTTGCAAGACAAGTTTTTCTCACCCTCTTTCCCCTTGCTACCACTTGCTTGCTTGGCAGTCAGAGAGTAAGCAGGCTGTAGGGTGGACCAGTGCTCCTCCCCGCTGCCAGCATTGCCTTCCAAGAGGCAGGTGGACAAGCAGAGCAGAGGCGGGTCCAGGTTCTTGTCAGGGAGCCCTTGCTGGGCGATGGGCTTCAGCTGGTGCCCAGCCATGCCCTCCCCGGATGCTGCCTCTGATAGGAAGGGAAGGAGGATGGTAATGGGCCTAGCTGACCTGGGCAGCAATGGAGGCAACCAGCAGGCTACTTTCTTGCCTGAAGCCATCCAAGCCTTAGCACAAATCAGAAAGGGAAGTAGGGAAAACTCAGACAACTGAGTGGATGAAAGGGCAAGAGGATACTCAACAAGGGCGACTTATTTTATACTGTTATATGTGTTTTATATTGTTAATTTATGTATTTTAATTAATTTATTTGTAAGCCGCCTCGAGGCTTCGGCGAATGGGGCGGCCTAGAAATTTTCTAAATAAATAAATAAACAAGCTGTGTCAGGGAGAAGTTAGTTTTAGAAAAGAACGATGGTACCTTTCATTTTTAGAGTGTGAACATACAGGCCAGGTAGTGTTTCTTTACCAACAGAAAGGAAGAGGGCAAGGGAGGGAAGGAAAGGGAATAGGGGGTTCCACAAATGTCATCTTGTGGGAAAGAAAAAGGCTTCTCTGGGTAAAAGAGCCTTCACTGCTTACTTATGTGTCCAGCAACTGAGTCAAGTCAGTCCGACTCAAACAGTGGCCACAAAACCAGAAAGCACTTCTGTCTTAGGCATTTCATGGGAACTCAAATGTTTGCTAAGCTGACTTTTCCTCCCAGACTGGTAGGAAGAAACAAAAAATTGCAGGCTGTTGGAAGCATGCACCCGGTGGCCTATCTAGGGCTGACACCAAGCGATACCTGGGGGAGGGCTGTGCTCACAGAGCTGGGGGTGGGACTGCACCAGGACGTCCAGCAGCGAGCTCTCTTCTCCCAGCCATGGCCAGGCCAGTGGCCAAAGGGCACGGCCATTCAGGGCTGTTTGGGGCCAATTGGGGTTGGGTTGGGCCCAGGGATTTCCCCCCTCAAAGGCTTTGTGGTTGGATCCTGGAAATGGAAGGCGGGGGGGGGGGGTCATAATGTCAGCCTCGGGGAGTCTGTTAGTTTCTGAGTTCCACTTTAGATGTGGAGAGGGTGGAGCTAGGGCAGGGGGTTATTAATGGGTTGGCTTGTAAGGCACAGTTGTATATTGTTTACTAGTGCCATATTTATTGTTGACCAAATGGTCCGTGCATAACAACAGGCCAGCGTGTGAGGGCTGATACCTTTGGGTCACATCTTCAAGCACCAGGCCTGACTTCTAAGACAAAAGGGCTTCTGCATCTTTCCTCAGCTGGAACAAAACCTATTTCTTCAGAAATATCAGAATATGAGGGTGTTCATTAAGAGCCCCACAACTGGGCTTCAAGCTTTGTCGACAGGATTCAATGCCAGCAGCATCAGCTGCCCAAAAATCCCTTGTGCTGGCGATAAATTCTTATCTGCCTTTGTTTCATGGAGATTTGTCGTCAGTAGCTATGATAAGACATGCAGTGGACATCATTCAAACTATTGTAGTACACTGCAGTTAATTGCAACGGATTAGCTACTGCAGGTGTAGGCAATGTGGGTGCCTGTCTAAATAGGACACATGTCACAGAGGCAATAAAATTAGCCGCAGCTGAATGAGGCACAGGAAGAAGACAGTGCAACAGTTGCGTGTGAACTAATGCGTTCCATTCACTGAACAGAAAACAGCATGTTCGAGAAGTGAATGGTATGTCCCAACCTGGAATGTCTCCCTGCTTTTCTTCAGTTTGCTCAGAGAAAGTAATTCATCTGTTTTGACAACCTGAAGGAGATGATTTCATGTTGATTTTCCTCTCTGTCCATCATCATCATCATCATCATCATCATCATCATCATCATCATGTAAGAATGTAAAAAGTTTAGTGGCTACAGGAAACATGCCATCATGCATTCAGTTCTAGTCATAGGCTCGTACGTCTCTTCTCAGCAATTAGTTCCGGCCACACAAACAACACCCTGTAGTACTAGAACAGAATGATGAGTCTGATTTGAAACACAGATCTGAAACAATCTTTCTGCTTGAGAATCAGGCCATTTTTCTGGACTCCTCCAACAGAAGTTATATAAATGTGGACAACCGGTCAGAAATATCATGCTTCCTGAACCAGCATAACTGCTCACTTTTTGGTAGTGTCATAACCTGGCAGTTGCTCAGCAGTGCTGATCCTTGTTGCTGCCCTGCACCTTCTCAATGTGTATGTGAACACACCTATGCATCCTTTTCAGGTGCTGACCTCAACATATGGACATCAGGGTGGTGGCAAGGGTGCCCCTACTTCCTCCTGGTTTGTTTATTTATTTATTTAAAGCTTTTCTATAGCATCCCATCACAAAAGTCTCGGGATGTTTTACAGTGTATGAAGTTACTTCCAGACTGGATTATCCTGAAGAGCTGCCTGGCAGGATTGTTATGGGGAATTCTGCAAACAAAATGAAAGTATTTGAGCTGCTGTTAATTGCATTGCACTTATTCAGACAGCAAGTTGACCCAATTGAATGTCATTTGTTTTGGTATGTGGTAGGTAAGCTATGGCACTGGGGCTGCAGGTGACCCTCAGCCTAAATTCTCAAGTCTTCTACAAGCAATCATTTCAGGCCTCTAGCAAGAATGATCTACATTTCTCCCCACTGGCAGTCCACTTGGCAGAGGAAGAGAGAGAAAAGGGAGTGACAGACAGAGAGAATGCAGGAACTGGGGTGGGTGAAAGAGGAAGAGAGAAATAGAGTGGCCTCTTGGCTCTGGCACCAGCACCAGCACCAGGCAGACTACCCTAAGGGTATCCGGCACAAACATTCCTTGACAGAAAGCCGGACCTTCATCCCTTCTCTAATATCAGCCCTGGATAGTATCATTGGTACTAACAGATCAGAAGCAGAATGGGACACTCCCCACCCCAATTTATTAATAAATAAAGTAGTGTTTTTCTCATGCCTGGGATTCCTGGGTATGAAAGAGTATATTAGTTTGTAAGTTAAGGGGAAAGAGTTTTCCTTACAAGCCTGACCAGGATCAATTCTTTCTGGGAACTAGCAACACTGAAGACCTTGGCAGAGTCAACTGCATCCAAAAGAAAAACAAGGTAGTGGGCTGCTTGAGCTCTCTGAGTATCCTGGAAGAGTGATTATGGCCCATAGCATGCATGCCACAAAGTTTCAACATTTTCCTGCCAGCCTTCTTTGGGAAACCTTTGGGAATGAGAAGAATGGAAGAAGGGGCTTTTCCTGTTTCCTTCCTCCAGAAACCTTCCCCAGCATGATGTGCCAATAACACATGCAGGTTCAGAGCCAACAATGAGCCCTGAACTGAATTACATGGCACAGTGGGAGGGAAATAGAAAGAAGTATAATGATTTCTTGCCTTCACCCCAGAACCTCTCTGCACTGCAGCCCCAGACAGCCCTATCTCACCCGTCTAGCTGGAGCCCTGAACAGGAGCACTGGTACAGGTATGGGGTGTGGCTCCACATTAGAGCAATCAGAGTGCAAAGCAATCAGAGGGCACCGTTCTTGTCTTCTCAGTGCATGCCTACAATGTGCAGCTCTGTCACAAATTACTAGTAGACATTCAGGATTAACAAAGCAGGCAGTGATCTTAAATCTGTGCAACTCAGTTCCTCAGTCTGAACACTTCTCCAGTTGGGTATGTTCATTCTTTGTGCACTTGTGTATCCTCATATACACAAAAAAGCAGTGTACACCTTTGCATCTATATAGATGTAGTTGACCAGCATGTAAATTTGGGCATATTTTATGCAGACATGGCATGCACACTGAACAGGTTGTGAGTACTCAGTCAAAATTGGGTAGTGGGTCACTAACAAAGTTGAAAATGTTAGCTTGAAAGATTAAAGTTTTATTGGACCACAGATATTTACAGAGAAAGGCATTGATTAGTATATCACCCCTAGCACTGGGTTCTTAATAATTATTGTAGGAGAAGATAAAATCGAGGCAGAGACAGTTATGGTTCACCAATAAGGACAAGCATTGAGGCTTAACTGTAATGAGATACCATGAAATTCAATGGTGCAAGGATGGATATATTTTGAGTGATAGCAAAAGAATTCAGAATAGAATTCAGAATGGAGGACAATGAAACCAGTGTGGTGTTGTGGTTAAAGTGCTGGGGGAAGACTGGGGAGTCTGGAATTCAGATCCTTATTTGGCCATGAAGCTCACTGGATGACTTTGGTCCAGTCAATGACTCTCATTTTAACCTACCTCAAAATTTGTGAGAGAAGAGGAAGACCAGGTATCCCACCTTTGACTCCTTGGAGCAAAGATAAGCTATACAATGCCTTGCAGAACTACTCACCGCCTTCCTACTTGTCCACATTTTGTTGTGTTACAGCCTGGAATTCAAATGGATTTCATTGGCAGTGTGATCACCTGATACACACAAAATGCTCAGGACTGTGACAGTGCAAAATATTTATTTGTGGCACAAAAGCTGAAGAAACAAAAACAAACTGGATTTGTTGGTGGCCTAACCTTGGAATCAACACTTGGTAGAAGGGTCTTTGGCAGCAATTTGAGCTGTAAGTCGACTTGGTAAGTCTGCACCAGTTTTGTGCAACTGAATCCTTAAATGTTTACCCATTCTTCCTTGCAAAGCTGTTCCTGTTCAGTCCTAGTTTGTAACACCACAAAATACAGAAAAGGCAAAGTAAGGTGAATACTTCTTCAAATTCCTGTGAATGTAGCAAATAAATATAAAAAAGGAAGTGAAGGAAAATATGTGAGGCAGGTAAATGTTTGTCTAAAGTCCTGTAAAACATTAGCAGAAAGCTCTTGGCTGTGTGCTAAACTACTGGTAGGGCAAACCATTGAGCTTAACAATAACATATCTAGAAAAGTCATACTGTTTACTTCCTGTTCCAACAGGTTGACTCCCTAGGTCTTAAGACACACGATTTCTTAAGAAAAATGTCTTTGGCAATGCAGATCTCTCTCAAAAGTCATAAGAAGCTGGCTGCTTTCCTGGGAGTCACGGAAATGTTGCTACCTAAGTGCAAGAATGAATATTTCACAAGGTATGACTCTCTGTCTGGCTATGCAGGCAGCAAAGGCAAGGAAACGAAGTGAGGAAAACTCTGGTCCTGAGTGGAGGGGCAGTGTTAATGCTTGTAAGTAAAGGGCAGCTTGCAAGCTGAGCCCCTAGATCAGGGGTCCTTAAACTTTTTAAACAGGGGGCCAGTTCACTGTGCCTCAGACTGTTGGGGGGGGGCGGACTATAGTTTAAAAAAATATGAACAAATTCCCATGCACACTGCACATTAAAATTAATTAAAATTAATTTAAAATTAATTAAAAATTTAAAAATTAATTAAGAAATAATAAATGTTTGCTCTACTCACTCGGGCTTCAACAGAACCCCAAGATGACCTTGCGCTGCCCGCCGACAGGGAGAGCATGACACAAGGGGGAGCCATGAGGGCGCACTCACCTCGGCTGAGGCCTTCCCGGCTCCTCGCTGCTGCCCCACTTCCGAGCTGGAGGAAGGTCCCCTCGCAGGCGCTTGCCCAGCTCCAGGAGGGGGACCAGGAGCGGGAGGACGGAGAGGCAAGCGCGGGGTGGCTCTCTTGGCCGGGAGAGGGCCACAAGGAGGGAGGTAATGGCAACTTTCCAAGGCGAGGGGAGGCAAGGGGTGGGGCCATGGCTGGCCAAGCAGGGTGCCTCCTGCCTCTCCCCGCCACGGGGGGGGGGGGGGAGTAGCATGGCAGCTGCTTGATGGTGGCAGCGGCTTGCCCAGAGAAGGCCGTGGCAGAAGTGCGGGAACCGTGGCCCGTCTGCCTCTGGGCTTGGCAAGGGGGCTGCAGCTTGGTCCGCAGCCCGGGGATGTGGCTCACATAGTTAAAAATAGATTTTAAAAGTTATATTTTTCTTACCTTCTATCTTTTTTAGTTTCTTCGTCTCTCTCTCTCTCTCTCCCCACTGCCTTCCCCTCTTCTGTATTCCCACTCTGTATTCCCTGCTCTGTATTCAGAGCCAATGCATGTGTGAAATAGGGGGAAGAGCCAGTGCACGCGCACTTGAAGAGAGCTGTTACAATTTGGCGCATGTGCTGGGTCTCTGCTAGTCTCCAAAACTGAAAGAGTTTCAGAGAATGCTTGCACCGGCTCAGAGCTTTTGGACTTGTTCGGAGATCGTTTTCTCCGAGCGAGTCCAAAAGCTCTGAGGCGGGCCGGGTAAATGACCATGGCAGGCCCTATCTGGCCTGTGGGCCATAGTTTGAGGACCCATGCCCTAGATCTTAGAGTCATAAATGGCAGTCAGTGGTTGGCATGTTACACTATGCCAGCCTGAAAATAAGCCACAGTGGATTGGTTGTTTGCTTAACAGCTGACAGTGCTTCTTATTATGATTGGATGTGCCCACAACTGGAGTATTGCATCCAGTTCTAGACTCCACATTATAGGAGAGATATAACTGGGTTAGAATCAGTTCAGCACAGGGTCATAAGAATGGTAGCCGGGTTGGGAGGGATGACATATGAAGACAGATCAAGGGAACTGGGTCTTTTCAGCCTAGGGGAGACTCCAAGGGGATCTTTTAGTGACTTACAGTTATGTGAGGGGATGCCATGTGGAGAAGGGCCGTGACTTGTTCTTCTCTGCAGTGGAAGGCTGGATGAGTTTCAAAGGGGCAAAGCTCAAGGAGCCAGGCTTTAGGTTGTCAGGAAGTAGTTCCTGACGGTTTGGACTCCTAGGATATGGAATGGGCTTCCAAGGGATGTGGTTGAGGCCCCATCAGAGAGCGTGTTCAAGGAAAGATTGGACAACCGTATGTTGGGGATTACATGAGAGAAGCCAGGTGGAGCGGGGGTCAGACTAGATGGCCTGGGAGTCCCTTTCTGACTCACTTTGTTTCTATGGGTTGTTCTTCCCTTCAGTCCTCCAGCAAGCTGAGATACATACCCCAGGTCCTTTGTGGCAGAACCTGTCTTGTCCCATTACTCAATCCAGTCTCTACCCAATCCTGTTATGTTTGCTACTGTTTCTTCCCCGCCTGGAGCTCCAAACAGTGCAATTGGAGTTAAGAGTTTTTCAGCCCCTGAAAATTGTGCATGTTTAAATGTTGCTATGGTTGATTCTTTGCAGATATGCAAGTGAGCACTTACAGCTATCAGATATGTGCAGTCGTGCCTGGTCAATTCTCTTGTCTGTTTCAACTGTCTAAGAGAAGACAAGACAGCATATAAACTGACAGTTGCCAGCTGTCCTTTGCCTAGCTGTTAATTGAAAAGCAGCAGTGAATTGGAAGAGCAAGAAAAGTAGGCACACCAAAAGGGGATGGTGGCAATATCATGCACTTAGCAATGTCACCTGCTTGATTTTAATTGTCATATTGCCAATTCTCAGCGCCCTCCAAAGTGCTGTTTCAGCATTGATGGAAGGCCAGCCGCTGGCAAGACTGCAAAAGTGAGCATGAGTAGTTTCTGCTGCCTTTGCAGAGCATCTTCAAAGCCACTCCCAGCAGCCATAATAAAAGCACTCCACCAAGTTCAGACAGCAGGCCATGGGTTCTCATGGGTAGCTTGTTCATCAAAAGCCAGCCACTGAAACTGAAGCTGCACCACACGGCAGCCCACCACAGCGGATTACACGTGTCAGTATGAGAGTGTGCTCCGCTCGGTCTCTTCAATTCCTTCCAAAGGCGTTCGGACTCAAGGGGATGTATGAGAGTGCAGGCAAACAGCCCAAGGGAAGCAAGACCTTGGCATAAACAGAGGACAGGTTCCGTTCTGGAACTGGACAGAAGCTTTCCTTAGGCTGGCTAATTCAGCATGACAAATGCCAGAGGTCCATGAGGTAAACAGGTGGAGGTCACAGATGGAAAGAGGCCGGGGGAGGTCCAGGTGGTGCATTAACTGCTAATTCATGTTGAGGTGAGGCTGCTTTACGACCGAACATTTTTTGCCAAGGCTTCTGACTGGCCAATCTGTAGATTGCTGAGGCCAAACATGACTTAAAATGTCAGGAAGGCATTTGCATTTATCCAGTGCCTTCATTGCTTTTCCATGCATGACTGCAACTCCTATTGATCGAGTTACAGTAGAGGACATTCTGGTTATGAACAGTAATTTCAACAAAGCAGTCAGCTGATATATTGCTGCCAAGATCTTTGTGCCTTGAGTCACTTACCTGTGCCTTCTCAGAACAGATTAGATAAGGTGCTAAGGTGATGCTAAGAAAGTACACATATAATTGCCATCATAGGTGAGTTTCTCAGTAGCAGTCTGTAAATGGTTGCTTAGCAGGCCCTTTTGCCAGTGGGGCTACCACTGCTCATCTGCAAATAGCAGCCAGACCAGTTTTGTTAGAACCTAAGTGATAATGGTCTCTATAAAAAGAGGTAGACATTTACCCAATTTGGATTTTAATTTGTGAGCCAAGCTCACTCATTTTTATTCTATATGTCTTGCACTTACAGTGTGAACTACACTGTAACAGCAAACACACACACACACACACACACACACAATGTTTTGATACATTTGATGTCAACACAATTATCTCACCCCCACAGATGAAGCAGGTCCTTCCAGAGATGGAAGGCACCCTTTCGGTTTTGGCTCTCCAACAAACAAGTGCTGCCATCTAGGGACCAACCTTTCCAAACTTCATCCACTACTGATATAAACAGAAGGTGCAGGGTACTTTGGGAACATCTGATTGGAGCAGGTCCCAGTACCACTGTGTCAGAATTCCTATCCTGTGGCTCAGAAGACACTTCTCCACTGGGAAAGAGAAGATGTAGATCCATGCTAAAGCATATGCTTTGCATGCAGAACATCCCACAACCAATCCCTGGCATATTCAGGTAAGGAGGGCACTGCCAGCCAGCAGAGGCAAGACTGAGCTATGTCAATGGTCTGATCTGGTGTAAGGCAAGACTTGGTAGCCATTCTTATGCACACATGCAAACATGGCATAGCTTTCGATCACCTGCAATAAAGGTGGGCAACTTGTCGCCCTCCGGTTATTCTGGCAGAGGACTCCATCAGCCCTAGCCAGCATAACCAATCGTGAGGAACCATGGGGTCGGTAGGCCAAAGCATCTCAAGGGCCACAAGCTGCCCACCCAGATATACTATGGCGTAAACCAAAAGTCATTTTGGCTTCTTCATGGATCTGGAAGCCTTATTTCTCACAAGTTGTTTATAAAATCGTTGGTTTTTGAATGCGTGGACAAAAGCCTGTCCACTGGGAAAAGGTGCCTTGCACCTCCACTTTCTGTTCTGCCCTATGATCAAAGAGATAAATGATGAGAACATGAATTAGGTGCTTTTGGGTAAGCAGAATTATCACAGGCTCTTAAGACTAGAAAAGCTGGGGTTAATTTATTGTGAGAAATACACACAATGCAAGGGCTGCTATAAATGTTCGGGAAAAGTAGGTGTGGCTGACCCAGACTTATATGCCCACCCTAACACGCAGGGAGAACAAGGAACACTGGGTATTCAAGAATACTGCAGCTGGAATAAGACCCTTTATTGCAACTGCAATACTTGGGCCACAATCTAACCCCAAGTATGGCTTATGACATGTTGTTTCAGGTTCATCCCCCATGGAGTGAAAAATATCCCAAGGGGGCTGGCAACAGATCACTCTTTTGCTCCAAACCCACAAAGCTCTACATTGTGTTGTTACCCCCTCTCTTTTGCCTGGTTTATTCCAAGGCCAACAGCCTCAGTCCCACCTGTGATGTTCCACTGAAAAGAACTTAAGTCAAGATCAAAACTACTGTGGGATAGATGGGCAGGACTAAGGTAAGCCTCCAAATGATGGGATAATCACTAGGTGTGAAGACCTCCCCTTCACAGAAAAGGCACGTGTGAATCACATAGTACATAAAAGGAGTGGGGGAGGCGTGCTGATGTGGGGAGAAGATTAAGCCAATTCTTCCTCGTGTATGTTCTGCCAGGTCACCAGACTAGTTGGGTAAAACAGAGTTAGCTACAAACCAGGCCAGTTCCAATGAAGCAGAGGAAGACTTCAGAGGCTCTGCACACCTACACCACTAGAGGTCAGCACAGAAACAGGCCACAATTGTAGCAGCAAAGTTGATTTACAGAGATGAAAATGATGCCATGACCAGCCCTTCACAGTCCCATCCTGCTCTGCAATTGAACCAGAGTGAAAGGAAGATGGCCCACGGGCCCTCTGGCCCTTGGCCCATCCATCCCAGTTCATCTGCCCTCTCTCAATGCATCCATTCTCCCAGTTAGATAAACTCAATGCCTTCATATTTGATGGAACCGATACGGGTTTCAGGCAACAGGCTACGCCCATCCAGGGTGAAGGCTGTGATGTAGGTTGCCACACGTCCAGCATCCTCCTCAGACTTCAGCGCCACAATTATCTGGTCATCAGTGTCAGGTACAAACTTGAAGGAAGAGAAGCCGTGGGTGGGGATGATATTACCAACATGGCTCACAGTGACATCGGCAAAGTCTGGTGTGGAACTGAGGAGGAGGTTGGTGCCACGACGCTCATCCTCCTGCTCATTGTAGCGCCCATGGCTGGCACGGCGGGGCAGAAAGAACCAGCGCTGGAGTCTCTCGCTCCAGGAGGCAGACTCATGGATCAGGTAACCTGGGACAGGAGGAGGAAAAGAAGACATCAGCAGGTTTGGGGCAGGAGGCAAATGCCGTGATGCCCCAGCAGGCATGCCTCCAGAGGCAGAGAATGGGCAATGTTCACAGCAAAGGATGGTGGGTAAAACCGGTATCACCATCCATCCTGGAAAATCATAATGTGCACAGGCAAAAAGAGGAGACCTTATTCCCTGTCCTCTCCACTGAAGGGCTGTCCTTATTCTGTTTCCCAACATTCCACAGCCTGCCTACTTTCATTTTAGTCCCTAGCTATCTGACCCTTAAAAAAAAAAGCTTCAAATTTTCAGGGGGAAAAACTCTCAGAAGCAGAATTGCACAAAAGTATAGACACACAAGAACTTTCCTGTCACACCAGCCCAAGAACGTGCCCGCGGCTCACCTGGAAGAGTGATCCCGGCCGCTGTTCGGAGTGCATCGTAATTGGCCACCCAATTCTCATGAGTCACATCGCCTTTGTAGCCGATGACTTTCACCCATTCAGGGTTCTGGTTGAGCACCTCTCCTGTGGTGGTCGTCCACTCCTTGCCCAGGCCTCCCACATAAAGATGTTCATCCTTCACTGCCAGCCACTCTGCCTTAAACCCTGAATAAAGCAGGAGACACATTCAGGCACAGGGAACATTGACTGCTCATATAACAGACCGTCCCAGTCTAAGCCAGAGCACGGCTACATGGACTTACCGCTGTTCCAACATAAGGAGGAAAGAGGCATGCATGTGCTGTGAAAAGGAGAGTTCATTCCTCAGGACTGTTCCAAGCCCAGATGAACTACAGTTCCAAAGATCAAATGAAGCGACTACCTCCTCCAACTTGAACTAACCCCTTCCCAACACTCCCCACTGTGTTATTCAGTCAAGGCCTTGCTCCACATCCTACTGCTGTTTGAGGCATGGTTGGCTGAGAAATGTATCAGGGCCTTTTTGGCCACAGTGCCCCACTTATGGTACTTTTTTAGAGTCACTTGTTTGCCTCCTCCTCTCTTGAGTTTTGGGAGACTGACAAAGTTTCTTATTTTGCCCTGCTTTGAATTTGCCCTGAGTTCTATTACTCTTGTGGTGATTTGTATGTCTTTAAGCTGACACATTTTTAAGTTTGCTCTTCGCTCTTATTTTAATAATGTGATGACTTCTGTTTTTAGATGGACTGTACTGTTCTTCATTTTAATATTGTGTGTGTGTGCCCATGCACAGATGTATGTGCTTTTGGAAGTTGCACTGATGCCTTTTTAAGGGCCAAAATGCAGAGCTGAAAATTCTACGTAAATATACTTTATTTTTGCCCCTTGATCCCCAGCCCCCTGAAAGCAAAGAAATCCTTGAGTTTGGAAAATAGCTGAACCTTATCTAGGGAATACTGCACAGGAACTGTGGGCCAGCTACAGTGACAGAAGGTGCAGTAATTCTGAAACTGCCAAAAGACTGGGGGAGGGAGCATGCCTACATTTTGTCATTTGGCACTGAGACAATGTGAAAGCCAGGGATTTCTGAACACACCACCTGGACTTAAATTTATCTGCAGCTCACCTTTGCCAACTGTGCCATCCCCATCAGATAAGATCACCCAAGGTATCACCTTGGTGCCATCAATCTGGTAGACCACACCAGTGCGATCGTCCACTGCATAGAGCTTGCCGTTGAAGACCACCAGTTCGGAGAGCTCCATGCCACGCCCTTTCTCAGCCAAGTGAGATTCCAGCTTATAGTCCTGGGAATCCCACTCTATAGAGACACGGTCCCCACTGGCCGACAGAGTCAGGTAGCCCTTCTTCAGGTAGCTGAACCAGGTATGCTCAGTGGGGCCCTTGGAGTTTGTGTCAAGATCGGCAATGAGTCCGATGCGGTAGCGCACACCTTCCGGGATCCGCTGTGGTGGGGACAGTGGGTAGGTGTCATTGTATCGTTCACTGGGCAGCATGCTGAGCCGCCATGTGTGAGCATTGGGAGGAACCGGCCTGCTGACCGAGGGAGAACGCTGGAAGCACAGGAGCAGCAGCACAAGGACCAGGGTCAGAGAGGTTGCCACGATGGCCTTCCAGCGCAGGCGGAAGCGGGGGTCGGCTGCCTTGGTCATGGACGCCAGCACTGGAAGGCTGCCCACACTAATCCGCAAGGGATTCAGAGAATCATCCCATTGCAGGCGTGGGCGGGCTGGGACGGGCATGAGCCTGAGGTTCCCGGGAACCTAGGAAGGAAAGAAGAGGGTCAGCAGATCCACAGAGACCGTGGGGCTTGGGATGAGCTGGCAGAAGAAGAGGGACACGGCACTAAGTATTGTGATACCTTCCTAGAGGAGAAACAGAAGTACACGGAACAAGGAAGGAAGAGGTGTTGCAGCAGCAACAGGCGGTGAGGGAGGGCAGGCGGCTTGGCTAAGAGCTCCTGTAAGTGAACAAGGCAAAGCAACAGGGCATTGCTACAGTCCTCCCAAGTGTTTGCCACTAGGATTCTCATTGGAGCTTAAGGAAATTGCACAAGAGAAACTGACAGATATGAAATAGGACTGCTGACTGATTAAACCAAGTTTAACCAATTGATCATCTCCCTTTTCACACATTAATTCCTAAAGTGCGCACATTAACAGCACTTTAATAAAAGGCAGGTTTGTAAGATACTGCAGGAAATAGTATCTATCTTTTTAAAAAATCTCACCCTTCCTCCAAGGAGCCTGGGGTGGTGTAACCACCTACTCCTCTATTATTGCCAGACAAGCCTGAGAGGTAGCCTAGGCTTGATAGTGACTGGCACCAGTTCATGCAGTAAGGCCTGCAAGTGCACAGGGATTTGGACCCAGCTCTTTCCAACTAACGTCCAACCCACTAGCCTTGCTGTCTTCTTAATACACAAAACTCAGTGTATTAAATACTCGGTGTTATAGAATTGCATCTTAAAAACTGGAGTCAAAATAACCAAGGGAAATGCACATGCATTTTAAACGACCAAATTTGTCCTCAAGCTCAGGTGAAGTGTCACTAATTAACCAATTACAATGAAGCTGTGGCCCAATCAGAAGAGGTACACTGATGGAGGAAAAGATCAAAGAGACAGAACTCAACATGTAATGTGCCAAGGTCATCCTCCCTTCCAAATCCAGGAACATAACCCACAAGTACTTGTCTCAGCACCTCCAACTCCCCTCCCTTGGCCAGCTAGGGTTCTCCAAGGCTGTAATCAAGCTGTCCACCATCAGGCTTCCCAGGGGTCATGCCCACCAATACAGACTCTCTCACCCCAGAAGAATGGCTCTCCACATCATTCCAAGCAGGAATTGCATCAAGGTCCCAGTCCTTCCAGACCTGTTTGACTGTTCCCAGTTCTGGGGAATAGCCGCACCTAGACCGCAACAGGTGGCAGAACTCAGCTCCTCCCTAAATAGGATCCAGGAAATGTAACCAGGAAATGTCCCCAGGTCAAAGATCGTTCACTTGCCCAACCAGTTCTGCTTTAGCACACAACAGACCTTCCTTCCTGTTCTGCTCATGTAGCTTAAGTGTCATGATTTTCAGCCTCCAGTGTCCTTGTAATCCACATGGTGATTACTGATGGCTCTCCCAGTACCATTCTCTATTATATTTAAGGGCTATTCCCAAACTCACTGGAAAACCTGCCCTATGTTCAGCATCATCCTAGCTCCAAAATGTGTGTGCATGGGGAGTGGGGGGTGGTGGACAAGAAAAACACTGTTGGAAAACAGCATACATATGGTTGATTCACACCGAACTGCTGGTGTTTGCAAAAACCCGAAAACATTCTTGCACTGCTAATTCTCAGGCAGTGCTGGACCAGAAGACTTCCCGAGTTAGATATGCAGGAACATAAATTCTTAAGGGGAATAAACCGCTGGGGCAAGATGTGTGCAGAAGCAGCAGTGATATCCTTGTGCCAAGGCAAATGTCTTTCAGCAAGGTTTTGTGGCAGAATTTCACAACATTGCGAATGTTGTGTGAGTGTAACTGCACCTAGGTAGCACGAGTCATCCCATGAAACTAAACAGTGGGTTGAATCAGGACAGCTAAAAGAAGTGCATAGATAAGCTATGGAATTCACTACCACCAAGATGTAGGAGAATGGCCACCAATCTGGATGGCTTTAAAAGGGGGATTAGGCTATCAATGGGTATCAGTCCTTATGATTATATGTTGCCTCCAGTTTCAGAAGCAGTAGGCCCATATATACTAGTTGCTGGTGAACGTGGACAGAAGAGAGTTGTTGCCCCCATGCCCTGCTTGTGGGATCCTGTGGGCAGCTCATTGGCCAGTTAATGAATAAAACGCTGGGTCCGATAGACCTTTGGTCTAATCCCAGAAGGGTCTTCCAATAGAGGAGCAGGCAGCAGGGGAGCTGCCTTGCCACTTTGAAGAGAACATGTCAAAAAGTCAGAAACATCAAGGGATTGTCCTAGATTCTGCTTCTCCAAACTGGAGAACCCTAATGTGTTGGCCATATCAGCTGATGGGAGTTGTAGTCCAACACATCTGGAGGATGCCAGATTGAAGAAGGCTGCCATGCACAAATGGACGACAGCTTATTCTTCTTCTGTCTAAAAAGCATAGCACAATCTTTCAATGCATGTTTTTCAGGGCGGAGAAAGGAGAAGAAAAAAGGCAACAGGCACGGCCACTTGGGCTGCATCTTCCCAGGCCACGATCGCCTGAGGGCCTGCAAGAAAAGGAGGTCGTTTTTCCTGCAGTGAAGAGGGCTCTCCTGATCACCTCAGGATCTGCCAGGGAAGGCGCACCACCGAACGATCCGTTCGGGAAAGGCACCAAACCGAATCGCTCCACGGCCCGCCCAGGACGACGCACCCGCAGAGGCTCCGAGGACAGCAAATGGGCACGGGGTCGACAGGCGCAGCCCCCGCCTCAGCCCAGATAACTGCGGCAGCACCGAGGAGGACTGCGGCCAATGAGGCAGGAACGAGGAGGGAAGCGAAGGACGCCCCCACCCAGCCCTGCCAGTTGTCTTCCCGAAAACCCAGGTGTCCGGGGGCCCCGCGCCCCGCAAATGCCCCCTCCCTCTCCTCCCGCCAACCACTCACCGACCAGGCTCCTCCCCGCGCCGGGAACAGCCGGAGGGAGGGACGGAGCTCCTGCAGCACGCACGCACGCCCGTCCGCCCTCCCCTCCCTCCAGAGCGACTACAGCTACCGGCATGCAACTCGCTGGAGAAACTACTACAGATCCCGATACCCCCCGCGGCCGAACGGAGATCGTACACCTTCTCCGGTACGCAGGAAGACGCGGGGGAGGGAGTTCATCTCCCACTATTCATTGAGCGGGAAACTAGAACGTGTGGGGTGTGGGGAGACACCGGGCTTCCCTCACCATAAACCTTCACTGAAAGAAATACAGAACCTTCCTCTTCCCCCTCTCATTTGCCATGACCGTCGTCTCCATAACTCATCGAAGAGGGACGATTCTTAGCCGTCTACTTCTCCTGGCTACCGTGCCGGTCTGCCCGCCCACTTCTTTTCTAATTGGTTTAGTGGGCAGAAGGGGCGGGGCATTGCACAACTGGGGGAGCAATGAGGGGCTTAGAGCGGCGTATATTTTACGCCGGCTGCACAATAGGCAGCTTACAATAGGTAAGGGGGGGGGCGGTGGTCAGTAAAGTTTCTACATAGCAGCCTACGCTGTGGCTCAGTTGTGGTACTTCTAAGGAGCATAAGCTCACTAGCTATTAGAAAGGTTTTTCTGTGCTGCCCTGGCTCTTAACCCGGGGGACTTTGAGGCCAAGCCCTTCCTCCAACCACCTCCTGCCCTTGGTACTCCTCTCCTTTTTCACTTCACTTTTGGGGTTCTTCGAGCATATGCCATTGGAATAATATTTTATTGAAAGCATACTTAATTTATGTCAATATTTTGTAAGTGTGCTGTGATGCCTGCCTGAGATGTGTAGTTTTGTCTAGCCCATCTTGCATGTTATATGATCTGGCCAGGACAACTTCTTCCTTCTCTTTTCTCCTCCTATATTCTTTATTTACTTATTTTATACTGTTAATTTTAATTTTATATTATTATATCTCTGTATTTTTTGTATTTTTGTATTTAAGTGGTAATTTATTATGTTCTATTGTATTTGAAGGTATCTTACTGTGTTGTAAGCCGCCCCGAGGCTTCGGCAAGGGGCGGCATAGAAATGTTATAATAAATAATAATAATAATAATGTTTCAACTGTCGGAAAGGGAGCACCAGGGTAGTACAGGCAGCAAGGAATTTGGTAAGGCAAGGTGGCCTGCTGGTTGATTTGCGCACAGTTGCAAAAGTTCAGGAAGAAATAATAGAAGAGAAAGGAGGGACCATTAGCACAGTTCAGAAGCCTGGGAAGTTGGATGGGTAGAGGGAAACAAAGCAGTAAGTGCATGAAAAGGTGGGAGGAAGAAAGATTCTTTTAAGTGTTGAACAAACACTTCCCTGATTTTCCACCTACACCATTAACTCCCCCTTCTTCGTGCTTCTGCTGGTTACCTTGGTGCCTTGACAGTGTTTTTTAAAAGAATGTGCTTGTCTGTCTGTGTGAGAGAGATCCCGAAGAGCGTGGCTGAATGGGATGGATAAGTCCTATGGAGAGAGCAGGTGTAAGAGCTGCTGCCGGCACCTCATTGGGCCACCCTCTAAAGTTCTTTTTAAAAATTGATGAGAGTAAGTGCACATTTATTGGACTGGGACGTAAATGGAAGAGAAGTGTATGAACATTTAATGGCTAGGAAGTAAATTAAGGGAAAATCTGTGCACCTACAGTAATGATGCAGTTACACAGATACACAAATTTCCCTTCCATTCATTTCCTAAGCATTACATTTGCATATACTTCATTGTCCCCCTAAAATTGTGCAGATATTCCTGGCAGTGTAACTCAAGCTGTGTGTGCTTGTTTGTTTAAAACCCCAACTGCTGTTGCTTCTGGAGTGACTTTATAACCCCAGGAGAAAGTGCCTGAGGTTGTAAAAATGGAAAATCCTAAACATTTTGTTCTGGCTAACATTTTCTCTCAAGGGGGTTACATTCAGTATAAGAATGGCTTTCAGTTATCAGCAGACACAGATAATGCTTTAATTCTTCTTGAGGTTATGTAAACTGAGAAAATCTGCATAACAATAGCAGGCCCATTGACTTTCCTCTGCATAACAATGGTTTGGCCTACTAAGCTTAAATAATCATAGCATGGCTATCCCCCAATGGATCTTCATTCTGTTAGCTAGAGGTTTTAGCTTAGAATCTTAGCTTTGAGATGACCTGAATTGAACTTTGCTTTGTTCCTTTTTCAGGACCTTTGTTTAGGGTCACAAAGTCACCTGGTCCAGTTATTCCTATGGAGTTTCTTGGGGAGTCTCCCCTGATATTTTTCTTTTATAATAAAAAAGTAAAAATTAGGAAGTTGAAATTTGAGGACATTTGAGACAGTATCATAAATGAACAAGTCAGGATTACTCATGTGTAAATTACAGCACTGACTATGCTCCTGGGTTACTAATGTCACCCCCACTATGCAGGATGAAAGTTACAAAACCCCAACCTGTAGGGCTTCTCCACACAAAGCATTTATTGTGTGGGTCTTTTTCATGATACCATCATCTCCCAGGGTCTCTCCCAAGTTTTCCAGTCATTTTCTTTGTTTTCTTTTGCAGCAAAAAAGGTCTGTTATCCCTCTCTCCGCCAGTGGTCCCTTTCATTCAGTCTTTTTTGGTTTCCCCCTCAAGGCTTTTGTTTTAGAAGTGTCAGGGAAGCATAGTAACCACAAAAGTAAGCACTCTGAAATGGAGCTATGAAAATGGGGGCGCGGGGGGGGTGATTTAATATCTTCCCTATCTAGACTACTTGCAGGCCACATGGAGAAATTTGAAAAGATGGACAATACTTAGCATGGACAATTTAACACTAAAAATAGAATTAGATTGCTAAATAGGTGATATGGTGTTCTCACACTTTTGTTGCACCCACTTCTGCTGTTTTCCCCATGTTCAGTGCTTTTTCATGGTGCAAATTGTTTCTCCTCTCCCTTAGTATCCACCACCCTATCTTTGCCAACTATGTACAAATAGTTTTGCTTTGTTAGTTTCTTTGAATGTTTCATATTCTCCCTGAAGGCTCCTTTGGACTGCTGAAACCAGCAAAGGAATTGACCAAGAAAGATTACACACATTGGACAGCCTTCACGTGTGCTCCTGTGCTGTTTTGAAACATCAGCAATAACAAAATTGCAATCATATTTGTGCAGTTTTCAAGGACCACAACAATTTAAAAGGGTGGCAAGCAAGTGATGATGACTCCAAAGTGCTGTTTGGACACTGGGGGAGAGGCAGTCACAAGTGACAACATAGTCATGAAGTTCAGGCAGGATTTTCTGCTGAATGATCCACAAACAGTGCTGGCAACACACAGGGAAATTGTGCTCTGAGATTTGGATGGCACAAGCACCCATTTGGAGTACAAACCACCTCTTGAGCAAGCCGTGGGCTTTCAGGGAGGTTTTGTTAACAAAAAGTAAGCCACTCTGGAAAATGTTCAGTGTTTGTTTGCACAACCAAACAACCCAGCATGGGGAGGGCACAATGCGGATCTGATCAATAGGTAGGTTCACGTGGCACTGGAAATTTTACCTGTGCACTGTCAGTCAGAGGGCGGCAGGCCTCCCCTCCCCTCCCCTCCCCTCCTTTCTTCCTTCTTCTCATTTCACCTTCCTGCATTATCCCAGGTGGCAGAGAGCTGTTGCTGCTTGCACTTCCTCTTTGGATAGGGGGAGTCCTGAAGGGCAGGTGATGGGGCAGGGGTGCTTCCCCTCCCCCATTCCCCCTCACCCATTCTGGGCAGATAGGTGAAGGGGCTGGACATGCCTGGCTGCTCTGCTTGTGTTCCTCTCAAGGTCCGTCCACCAAGGCCTGGCTGAGCTTGGGAAAATGGCGCAGGGCAGGCGCTGGCACTGTGCGTCTTGCATGCCTCCTCCTCGAAAAGGGGGAGGCACGCCTCCTGCCTGTTGCTTCCTTGTTTGCACTGGGAGAAGGGGAAACAGGACTGGAGTGCTCAGCCACTCTGCTTGCTCTGTAAATCACCTCACAGGAGCAGTGTTGGGTTCAGAAGAGACAGTAGCCCATTACAGCTTCTTGTTTTGTCTCTACGCAGTCTGTGTATCCAACTGAGAGTCTCTAAATAAAGAAGCAGATATCTGGCAATGAGAGCTTTGCAAAACAACAGAAGACTAAATGAGTAGTACAACTGCAACCACAAACACAAATTGTTAATAATTGAACTGGGTTGGATGCCCTCATGACCACTGGAAATGTATCACACAAAAACACATTCATGAATGGGGAGTTAAAGCAACATGCCAAGGAAGCTTTCCAGAAACCTTACTTAAAAATAAAGCATTGTCCGTATGTTTTGGGAGTCTTCTCCACTCCTTTTTCTGGCCCTGAAGTTACATTTTCTTTCTGACCAACAAGAGTGACTTTTATCCAGTGTCAGAAATCAGGGCATGTTTAAATTTCCAGCTTTGAACCTGCTCTAGCTCTTGTGCTTCCAACATCAGCTTCATCTCAAATATTAGCTGATGATAATGCTAATTTCCAACCATGTGCTGGAAAGTTTCAGTTCTATTAACATCAGCTGCTGGCTGTTTATAAAGTCGGGGGGGGGGGGGGGGCAAAACACACTCTTTCTTGTGTACTGTTTATCCTACACACAGTGAGTGCTAAAGGTTACAGCTTAGGTTACTGGTGGAATCACATGGTTTTGCCATTAATATTCACACTCTATAGGTAAGGTGACAGATAAGACAGGACTTCTATGCTTTTGCTAATGATGGAAAAGAATTATGACGAGCAAAGCATGTCATGTCACAGTGTTGTAGTGGCAAGAAAAGCTGTACCTGCTGACATTCTGTCTTCTCTACATGTATTAAAGAGAGGACACCATCCACACAGACTTTCAAATATACTTATCTCTATCATCAGGAACCCACACGTGTGTCTTTCAAAATCCTCAACTCACGAAAAGGGAAATCTTATGCAATCACTTCCAACAACTTGCATTCTTACAGACACATATTGATCTCTCTTGCTATGGTCTCTGCAGCGA